TTTTGCTCCAACCATTTTTAAGGTAATAATATTGACAAGATCTATGATCTTGCAAAGCCACCTGTGACAAAAAACATAGAGCAGTGGTTCTTCACAACCCTGCTCTGTGGTGACCCCTGATGGACCCTCTCCTCAGCAAATGCACACGTGTGTGCGTGCGTGTGCGCACGTACAGGCAGATGGTTTCAGGGACTACACACCCATTGTCCCTGGTTTAGCCCCCTGGCAGTTTAGAGGAAGCATGTGAAAGCAGGACTGTGAGACAAGGACAAAAGGAAGTTCAAGAGTGGCACGTCTTTTTTCTTGGTGGTCCTGACTCACCAGCCCATGGGAAGACCCCATGTTCCTCCATCCCCTCTGCCTGACCCTGCTCTCTGGTTCATTCCCCCTGGTGACAGGTCCACCTTGGGAGACACTAAAGGGTTATAGGACACCACTTAACCGTGGATCTCATCCATTGGTCTTACCGAGCTGTCCCTGGGTGAGCCTCTGAGCTCCACCCTTTAAGCCTTGGGACTCAGCTCTTCCAGACACTGAGGAAGCCAGGCCTTGGGAGACACCCTGTCTTCCCTTCACAGTCAGGTTGTACAGGTCACCCAGGCCCCTGCCGCTCCCCTATCTGGAGGCCCCAGAGGGGAGAACCTGCTTCTCTAATGAATCCTGAGCCTCTTAGTCTGATCCCGGCACCTCATACAGCTTCTCCTCTCTTCACATCCCAGAGCTAGGCCTCAGGCTGCCTTGGTATGAACATCTGCATATCTAAAACCCACATTTACATTTTATAACTTAGACTCCTGGGAAACTCCTCAGATAACAGCTCCAATATACTAAAGGGAAGGAAACATTTACCTTTGCAAACCCCACCAAAGGTGTGATAGGAGGTGTCAGGTAGGATGTTGTGTGTGTCCAGGAGAATACTGTGAGCACCCTTCATCCAGGTGTGTCTATGGGAATTCTCTGGCTCAGGCTTGTCCTCCATCTGGCTTGTTGTGGATTCTCTCAAAGTGTAGTCTTTGTGCCTGTCCGTCTGGTTGGGGTGTCCTCAGTCTACTGAGTGGACCCTTGGGCTCGATGTGTGTTTTTGAGGCCTCAGTTTCCTCATTTGTAAAATGGGGCTGACACCTCACAGGACAGCTGTGAGGACTGCATAAGTTAATGCAGGTCCAGCCCTCGCAGCAGAGCATGGCGAGTAGGTGTGGGTCATTGTAATGTGACGCCAACAGAAACCTCCAGCCTCTCTATCCCTTCCTCTCCCCAACTACCTCGAACCCTGGAAGCGGCTCCAATGTTCCCCCAGGAGAGCTCACTGTTAGGAGCCCGGGTGTTGGTGAATTGGAGGCCAGGTGACAGCAGTGGCAGCACCAGTGGTACCTTCTCTTACTCAGCCAGCAAGCTGAGCCTGAGCCAAAGCCAGAGGAGGAGGCCCTGCATGGGAAGTGGGGGTGAGCCAGGGGCCCCCTCAGAAACAGCTAAGAATCCCTAAAAAACCCCAACCTGAGTGCCCGCTCTGGGACCCACCAGAATTTTCTTCCTTGTCTTGGAGACATATCAGAGCTGCCTTCAGGAAGAATCCTCTGTCCTCCTCCCCCACTTCTCTTGGCCCGGAGACACAAACTCCTCCCTAAACTGGTTCCATCCAGCTCAAAGCTGGGATTTGCTGGAGCTTGTCTCTCTCTCCTCCTTTGGGCAGGGTTCCTGCTAAGTTACAGTAGTTTTGTCTTTCTTGTACCTATTCACCAAACACGTACTTCATGAGACTCTCACAAGCATGAAGCAGGCTGGGGGAAGCATTTCAGAGGTAAATGAGACGTCCTTTGGGCCTTGGAGAAGTCTTCATACTTAGGGATGAGGCAGAATAACAGACATCCACGTCAGAGATAGAGGCAAGAATGTTGTGGGTCCTTAAGGAATTGATTCAGACTATCTGGAAGGCTTCCTGGAGGAGAGAGGCAGCAGATAGGAGCCTTACCAGTGATAAAGAATATTTTAGCAGAGAAGAGAGGGAAATTTACTTTCATTTGCCCAAGATGATCTCATGGAATGAGCCCTAAACAGGTGCTAGAGCAGTGATGGTGAACCTATGACACGCGAACTCATTTTTTTGGTTGATTTTTCTTTGTTAAATGGCATTTAAATATATAAAATAAATATCAAAAATATAAATCTTTGTTTTACTATGGTTGCAAATATCAAAAAATTTCTATATGTGACAGGGCACCAGAGTTAAAGTTAGGGCTTTTCAAAATACTGACATGCTGAGCTCAAAGGGTTCGCCATCACTGTGCTAGAGGTTTGGTGTTTTAGTCCCAGCTCTGACCCTGACCAGTGGAAAGAGCTCACGTGTATCATTTCCTTTTCAGAACCTCCCGCTGCCTCATCTGTAAAGTGGGGTGTTAGATTAGATGAATTTGAAAGCAGCCACTAGTGACCTGGGGATTGGCCAGTCTCTTGTGTTTATCACAAACAGGCAGCATGCAAAATCAGGCTCCCCTCAAAGATGTGCATCCAAGTTAGACCAGAGAATTGTCTCAGAAAAAAAAGGCCTGAGGGATTTCATGTCCTGTGTGGGCCCATGGCTGCAGCCTCAGCAGCCCAACTCCCAAGTGCTTGTCTTGGTCACAGCTGTTTGCCTGGCACCCAGCAATGTGTCTGGCACAATAAATGTTTATTGAATAAAGAGAATAAATGAGGTGACAGCGATAATGACCAGTTTTTTGGCTAGAACTGAAATCAGTCCTCCCCCCAGATCATCAGATCCTTTGGGCTTTTGCTCCTTAATACCGCCTGTCTGGAAGAGGAAAGATGGCTGAGAGGAGCTGTCCTTTCAGAGGTCCAAGCTGGGGCCTCCGCTGCAATTACTAGAAAGTGGGTCACACAACTGCTCTGCAGAGCACAGACCCTTGAGGAAAAGCCTGGATTCCATGCCCGCTTACATTTACTGAGTGCCTACTGTGTATTCGTTGTTGTCACGTAGCTTTAATTCATTTCATTGTGGCCTCAAAGGGCTGTACAGGAGAACGTGGGCGATGGGGAACCGTAAACCCCAGCCGCTGAGCGACCTCAGCCAAGTCACCGCCCCTCTCTGGGTGTTCATTTTCAATCTCTGTAAAATGGAGACTATAGAGCCACTGCGCCAGGTGATGGGAATGAAATGAGCACGTGGAAGAGGAGCGTTTCATAAACGCTAGTTATTATGGTTCCTCTGGGCACACAGGTCCGCTCACCTCGCCCCAGGGCACATACACAGACATGTTCACACTCCCACGTACATGCAGATGCACAGAGACGCATGGAGACGCCAGCTGGCGGAGGTCGCTGAGCCTCAGACCCAGGGCCACCGCCGAGCCCCTCAAAGAAGCCACCGAGTCCTCAGCGTCCCTCTTTTCCTCCCAGCTCTTTCTGAATGAACTCCGGCCGCGAGTTTATTTTTTTATGAATGAGAGCCCAAGCAGTGAATGAAGCCAGGAAGCAGCCCCTGCTTTCTGATTGGCCCCCGCGACTGGGAAACTCCGCCCCTCGGCTTGGCCAAGCGAGTCTCCGGATTGGCGGGCGTGCCCGGCTGGGGTTTCATTCACAAAAGTCAATGAAACAAAGGGAACGGGGTTGGGGGGGCAGGGGGGAGAGAGCCTGGGCCGAGGCAAGGGAAATGCACCAATCGGCGGCTCCCCCGGGCACACAACTGTCCGCCGCGCCCGGAAAACTAGCTCGTGCGCTGGGGACCCGAGGCCCGGGCCGCCGCGCTCCGGCCTAGCCCCGCGGCCTCCCTGCCCCCCAGAGCATGCTCAGGACCGCCTGCGTCTCCAGCACAGAAGCCCCGGCCTCAGGTGAGGCTGTGGGAGGAAGAGGGAGGGAGAGTGCCCGTGATTCCCCGCCTCGCCTTCAACACACCCCACACTCTCACCGCCACCTCCGCAGATTCCAGGGCGGGGGTGGGAGGCGCTGAAATTCAGGGTTGGAGGGGGCGCGGGAGTTGTGGGCGTGCGAATGGTGCGCGCCTTGCCCGCTCCTCCGCGCGCGAGCACACACACACACACACACACACACACACACACACACACGCTACACACACGTCTTATGTAACCGAGCCTGGGTAGAGCAGGGCTGCAGAAAGCAGCCGACTCGGCGAGCCCGGCTCCCGGGAGCGGGAGGGGAGTGGTGACGGCGCTCAGAGCTCAGCAAACGAAACCCCACCATCGCCTGAGTGAGTCGGAGAAGTTTTGCCGTCGGACCCAGAGCCTGGGGACGGTCCCCTCCCCGTCGCCCTGACCCACCCCACCCCGCTGCTTTCCCTGGACGGTGTGCGAACGCAGCCCCCCCTCCCAGGTCTCTGCCCCCGCGCGGGGCCCGGGCCTCGCGGCCGGAGGGAGCGGCCGGATGGAGCGGAGGATGAAAGGCGGATACTTGGACCAGCAAGTGCCCTACACCTTCTGCAGCGTGAGCGCCGCGCCTGCCTCCACGCCCGCCCCCGCCTTGCACCTCGCCCCACAGCCCCTTCCCCCAGCCCCCAGGGGGTCCAGGGTTGCCCGGCCCCTGAATCACCCCGAGAACCCCGTCCCACCCCCTAGACCAGCCGGCCTCGGGGTGATTAAGGGGCATTCTTCTCCTTCCCGGTAGAAATCTCCCGGAAATGGGAGCTCGCGCGAAGCGCTGATGGTCCCGCAGGGGAAACTCATGGACCCCGGCTCCCTGCCGCCCCCCGACTCGGAAGGTAAAGAGCCGGAGAGAGAAACGCTACCCTCCCCACCACACACCCCCAAAGGACCGATCCTGGAGCCCCCACCCTTTTGCCAAAAAGACTCGCCCTCCAAGGGACGCTGATCATTCTTGGCCCCTGCCACCCCAAGGGGGGTCGCCGGGCTCGCTGGGGCTCCCTCCCTCACCATCACCTCCACCTCACCTTCTCCAATTCCATTATTCACCCCTCAGATCTCTTCCAGGATCTAAGTCACTTCCAGGAGACGTGGCTCGCTGAAGGTGAGTAGTTTATGACCTTTTCCATTACTGGGGTGGGGGGTGCTCTCAACCCCGCTATTCCAACCCAGCCCACTTCCTCGCTCCCCGGCCGCAGAAGCTCTGCAAGCCCCCTCCCCAAGGCCCCGGCCTTCCTGCGGTCCCCAGTGCCCAGCATGGACACTTATATTGATATTTATTTTCTCTACCCCGAGCCGGGCTTGTGTAACTAGGCCTGGGGATGAATCAGACCATTGTGTGGGGTATTTGCTTATTTGAATGGAACTTGGCCCCAGGCCCGTTTTCCTGGTTGAAATTTTCATTTGCAAAGTTTGTTTGGCAGCAACCACCAGGCTGAGGTGTGTGTTGGGGTGTTGGGGGGAGGGGTGCGAGGAACAGGAAGATGAGGAGAAAGAGCAATTAATTTGTGACGTATCTTCAGGAGTTGCCAAAACATTGGTTTTTACCTAAACTCTTGGTTTCTCTGCTTCCCAACTCCCAGTGCCAAACAATTTTCTGTCTGAGCCAAAAGAACAACAAACATTTAAATAATTCTTTTTTGCAGCACTTTGTCAAAGAGGGCTTTGAGCTCCCCCCTTCCCCTAATAGCCTTAATTGTCATTCTGATGGCAACTGAGCCTCCTCCTTTCCTCCTGAATTCCTCTACCCCAGGCAAATGCCCCCACTTCTGTGCCAGTGGGTTAGCTGTAGCTGCACGCTGGCTGAGGTGGGGTCAGGAGCTGGGCTTTGGTTCAGTGGGGAAGTGTTGGGGTGGGGGGTCTCCTGGTTGGAGTCATTGGTGTGTTTTGGTGGGGCCTGAGGGTGTCGCTGGTGGGGCTGCAGGTAGGAGGCGAATGGTGTTTGGTCTCAGAAGGAAGGGTTAACACCCCCATTTTAGGGTCCCTTTATTTTAACTCTCTGAAAACCAAGAAACCTTTTTGAAGGCTTTTCTCTTCTTTAGACTCTCCCCAGCCCCCACCTGGGTATCCTTGGTGACTTTTTTTTTTTTAAGCTCAAACCCTGCTCCTCTGGAACCCTCTATAAAAGCTTGGTGTAGGAAGGGAAGATTCCTGATTAGATCCTTGGAGTGAGACTGGATCTGTCCTGACCACTGTGGTATCCCCCAAAATTATATATGTTACAGAATGAGTATTTAGCATAGAGCAAGTGCTCGAAACATTTTGTAGAATTCGTGGCTCACTGGCGACTTGAGTGCTGGAGGGGCCTGGGGGTTCCGGGGCACTGTGCACACCTCCCAGACTCGGCAAGCCCTGGGTGCCCTGCTGCGAGCTGCAGGCAGAGCTATGCCCGGGCTGCCCATCCTCCTCCCGAGGTTCCGGAGCTGGGCTGGAGCTGAAGAACGCAGAGGTGTCAGTTTCCACGTCTCTCAAAGATTTCCTTTCCCAGCGCCTGATTTCTGTCTGGCTCACCAGGCTCCTTGTCTGTCAGTTGAGGGTCCCGGCGCTCCCCACAGTGGGCAGCTCCCAGGGCTGTGACCGGGGAGTGGGCTCAGAGGTTGGCATTTTGGCAGCAGCTGGTCCATTTGTGCCTGGGTTGGAATGGGAAGGAGAGGAGAATGTTCTCATCTTCTCTCCACCTTGGAAGCCCCACCCCTTGGCTGTGGGGGTCTAGGGACTGTACGTGTGTCTATCTGCATGTGTCAGTGTGACAGTCAGTGTGCGCTTCATGCTGCTGTCCTGCAAGTCTCTGTACATTTAAATCCAGTGGGTGGGGAGGTGGGGGTGGGGATCTTAAGACGGAGGGGGGGCGCCGCTGGGATCTCCTTGGTTCCCTCTTCTTCCTTCTGAGGGAGCAGCTCAGGTTCCCAGCTGGCGATGGATGGCCAGGCCTGAGGGGGGGGATGCTGAGGCCGCTTGCTCCTTCTCATTCTCTCTGTGGAGACAGATGCAGCTGCCGGGGCCCTGTCCCCCTGCACCACCCCAGCACCACCCCAGCCTCCTCTCCTGCCTCTTCCCACCAGGTCAGTGGCCCCTGCAGCCCAGGGGGAGCTTTGGGGTGGCAGGGAGGGGCTAGCCCCTTTGGAAACTTGCCAGAAATGGGGCGCATCCTTAGGAATGGGGGCCGGAGTCCAACCGCCGTCCCTCAGCCTGAATTTTTCCTACAAACCCAATTTGGAAAGAAGCAGCAGGCCTTGTAATGTGTATGTGTGGAGGGGGGAGATTGTGAAACATTCAATGGATGCCCAGGTTGGATCCAGGCCGATGTAGATTGTGGGTTCAGAGTCTGTCCGGGCATCATTGGGGGTGAGTGTGAGTGGGGCTCTGTGGGGGCAGGCAGTTCAGATACCTTTGGGGTTGGGGTTTTTCTAGGCAGAGCGAAGGGGGATAAAGTGAGTCTAAGAGGGCATGTCTGGTTTCGGGGTGCCTGCGATCTGTCGAGTTGCCGGAGAAAGGATCGGGCTGCCGTACGGAAACGCAGGCTCCGGAGGCTGAGCCCACACTGCGCTGGTTATGGCAAAAGGTGTGTTGCTTTTGGTCCAGAGCTGCTTTCCTGGTTTGTGGGGAACGCTCGGGGACAAGGACTTCAGTCTCTGTAAGGAACACTGACTGGGCCATCTGTGGCCTTTGTGTGAGGCTGGGGGGTCTGGGGCGTCCCAGAAGCTCTGCAGATGAATTGCAGGGGTCCTTGAGCTCTCTGACAGTGTAAAATGTTGGGGTGTGCCAGACACAAAGGATTGTGGATTTTCTAGAAAGAGAATGATCCTCACCTTTTATGAGGTTCTCAGAGATGGGTCTCTGCTCCCCTTTTCGTAAGAATCACTGCTCTCAATCCCCCTCCGAGGTGTCCAGTCCCCTGGCCCTTTGGTTTCCCCCATTGTCTTTGTAAATCCAAGGAGGCCCTTTGTGTGAAGGATGCGCCTGGGGGATGTGTTTTACTCGTGTGCTGCTGTGAAGTAAAAGGACGGAGGGTGTGTGTGGATCCCCGTGTGTGCCCGCCAGTGCCTTAGCATGTCTGTGGGGAGAGATGAGGTTAATCCCATCCCCCAGTCTTTTAGCTACAATACCTCCTTCTACGTATTTCCGTCGCCATCTCTTCTAGAAGGTTCTTGGGGACAGATGTCTGCTCCATAGGTACAGAACTGGTTCCTTCCAGTGCAGAGGGTGGGGGCAGGGTAAGGGTGAGAGCTGAGGCCAGCGTTGACACAGAGGAGCAGAAGCTTTGGGGGACGGCTCCCCGCCTCTCCACTGGGATTCCTTAAGAGGCCCCTTCATCCTGCGATTGGGCCCTAGGAAGGGGAGAGGTGATGGGCTTACATGGTGTTGGTGAGTGGCTGATCTGAGGTGGAATTAGCTGCTTGGCTGGCTTAACCTTCCAGTTCTGGCGCCCTGCTTGGGAAGTCCCCAAGCCCCTCCTCTCTACTACCCACCCCATCCCACCCCCTCCCCCTGCCCAGCCTCTCTGTTAGAAGGATGTTCCCTAAATTTCTCTCTTTGGGCATTTTGCTGGCTTGGCACTTTTCCCATCCTTCATCACCTGCCATGTCCTCGGGCAGATCATCTCGACCTTAGTGCCAGGGTGGAGCTGGGGGAAGACTAGCACACTGGCTTGGCAGCCAAAACTCAGCCAAGTTAACAAATAAATAAAGAGTGGCATACACTCAAGACCAAACATGGTCATTAGAAATCTGCTGCTCTCCAGGAACATGAGGTGCAATGTTAAATGTTCCTGCTCCTATTTCTTTTTGTTGTTGTTGTTAATCCTCACCCCAGGATATTTTCCCATTGATTTTTAGAGAGAGTGTAAGGGGGGGGGGGGGGGACAGAGAGAGAAACATCGATGTATTGATTGGTTGCCTCTCTGGTCGAGCCTGCAACCGAGGTACATGCCCTTGACTGGAATCAAACCCTGGACCCTTCAGTCCACAGGTTGATGCTCTATCCACTGAGCCAAACCGGGTAGGGCTTACTGTTCCTATTTCTATCTTTGTTAACAGTTTCTGAGCAACTGAGGCCCTGTCCCGCCCCTTTGGGAGAAGCCAGTGTTCTAGGGAAGGGCCAATCAGGGACTGGGTTCATGCCACAGCCCATTTTTACCTCCACTGATTTCTCCTGGCCCTGGGAAGAGGGTGGCACCGCCTCTTCTGGAGTGTGGTCTGTGTGCTGGGCGTGGCACACAGCCTCTGGGTCTGCTGTGGAGAGGAGGTCCTGGCCAAATCTTCAGGCCTGGGGTAGAAGGCAAGGCAAGATGAACCCTAGGGTTGTCATGTGAACTGGCATGTGACGTCAGTAGGAGATGCCCCCAGCCATTACCTCAGTAGAAAGCAGCAGTTAATGAAGCCCCAGAGGGGACTCTAGTGCGTCAGCCTCCCCATGGTCTGCACCCCCCACCTCCCGTCCTCAGGTCCCGCCTTGCCAAGTAGCAGTGAGGGAAATGTTGCTCATCCTGCTCCCATTACCCCCATCCAGCCACCTGTGGTTGGGCCAGAGGACACAGCGTGGATGAACGTAGGCTTGCACCAATCTTGCCCATTCGTACAGGCACTTGTTAAAAATAAAGACGCCTGGACCCCACCCAGGGCCTATGGAATGAGACTTGGGGGTGGCCTGGAATCCACGTTTTAACAATGTCCCCAGATTCTTGATCCAGGCCAGTTAGGGAATGGTTGCCTTTGTGCCCGAGTGGCGCTTCTGAAAAGATGTGTGCTCCCTGTGTGTTTGTGTTTTTGCCAAGGGGTTTCATGTCCTACTGACTTACTTGGTCACTTTAGAATTGTTTTACGTCGATGTTTCATCAATTCTTTAGCTGTTGGTGGCTCCTGGTTCTTAAACCCCCTCTGCCCGATCCCTCTGTCAAGAAGTCAACTGCCTATAAACATCTATTTTAATAAAACACTTGAGTTTTAAAGAGTGGCGTACACTCAAGACCAAACATGATATTTAAGGAAAGTTGGTGAAGAATTTTTCTGCCACGACCTCAAGTGTCCCACGTGAGAAGGGTTTTCCCCAGAGGACCTGCCTCTAATGGTACCTGGTGGTGGAGAGGGGGTGCCCTCAGGGTGAAGGAAGGGCTGGTTGGTCAGGATCTCTTCAGTTCTTGCTCCCAGGCCTGCCACCCTGGCTCCCACCAGCCTGAGGACAGAGGTCATTCTATCTTTATTCACAAAGTTGACAGATGATGCATTGAGTGCCTATTCTGAGCCAGACCCATTCCTGGGGTACTGGGGGATCAGATGAAAAGACAGATAAGCCCCATGCCCTCAGCAAGCTTCACTTCCTGGTAGAAGAGATGGACAAGAAACATGTGAACATAGTAAGTTCAGGGACCCATACCGTGCTGGGGAAGAAATAAAATGGATGCGAGAAAGGACTGGGAGGGGACCACTTTGGTCTGGGTGGTCAGAGAAGACCTCTGAGGAGGTGACAAAGTGAACTAAAACTCCAATGGCCAGAAAAAAGCAGGCAGGCAAAGATCTGGGGAAGAGGGATCAAGCTGATGAGCTTTGAAAGGAGGCCAGAGCTCTAGAGAGTAAAGGGCCAGCAGAGGCAGGCCAAAGAGGTACGCAGCCTCAGACCACGGGGGGCCTTGGAGGCCGAGGGGAAGAGTTTGGGGTTCACACTTTAAGCAGGAGAGCGAAGTGATGTGACTTCTGTTGCCCTGACAGCTCTGTGGAGAACAACCGACAATCGGAGGTGAGAGTGGACCTAGGGAGTTTTGATCAGAGGCTGTGGCTGAAATCACCAAGGAAGCAACTATGGAGCCTTTGCCCAGGAGCAAAGCAGTAGAGTTTGGGGTGTCTATCTGTACAGGCTAGGATGAGGGAGGGTGTTCTCCAGCCGTCCCCTTGGACCCTCACCCTTACCAGCTGTTCCTGATTCTGGTCATCTTCTCCATCAGCTTCTCCACTGTCTAATCTGAGGGCAGTCTCCTTGGGTTTTATCACCTCACCTTTGAGCCCCTCTCTTCCTGGACTATCAGGAAGTTCTTCTTGGTGTCTTCCCTTTCCCTTCCTGCTATAATCTATTCTTGAGAGAGGGACAAACCTGGGCAAAGACTCTGGAGTCAGGGGAGGTACTCAGCTGTAGACCCACCTGAAGGAGTTGGTGAGACCAGGATAAGAACTGGAAATCAACCCAGATGTCCAGGTTGGAGGCCATGGAGGAGCTACTGTTCTATTTTAGTTTTGCTGCCTAATTCCCAAACCCAGCTCCACGCCCACTGCACCCTGGGGATACTCCTCGAGAACTTCCAAGCTTGGGAGCCCTTCTCTCTTCTAGCTGCACATCAAAGGGATGAGGCCCCTGACCTCCCAGTGTCCCCAGCCTCTTCCTCTCCTTTGTCATCCCTTATTTATTTATTTTTTTTAACCTGCCTCGAACCACCCTCTTTCCTCCATTCCATCTCTTTTCCTGGGATCTAGATTTCACCTTGGAGGTTGTATGAAATGCAGATTCCAGCCCAGATTCAGAATCTCCCCTGCGATTCAAAGTTCACAGGATCTCACTCCTTGTCATGCCTGCCCATCCCAGGTGTGACTGCTGTTGCTTTGAGAGAGCTTTGTAAACTCTGAGGGGCAGGGCTGTCTTCACTTCAGAAAAATGGAGGGAATAAAGACAAAGCATCTAGGAAAAGACTGGAATCTGCTCAGACAGGTTCTGAGCATCTGCAGCCTCTCCCCTGCAGGGTCTTAATGGAGCCAGCGATGGAGGGCACTAGGACCTGGTGTGGAGTTGCCTTTATTCCTAGGAAGGCTCTTTTATTTTTGGGGTGGGTGCTAAGCTGCTGGGCTGCTTTAATGGTATTTCCCAGGGGCTGCCATCCAGGCTCCCCCGACCCCCCCCCCCCCCACTCTAGACTCACCTTTGACCTCTCTTCGCAGCTCAGGTACCAGATAGTGATGAACAGTTTGTTCCTGATTTCCATTCAGAAAACTGTGAGTAGAGGGCCCTGGGTAGAGGGAATGGGGAGTGGGGAAGGGCAGGAAATGAGTCACAGGGACAGAGAATCACAAAAGATCAACTTGTTCTCTCCTAAAGAAAGGGGTGAAGGGCAGGGCTCCCCATTCTTGGGTTTGGACTCAAAGACCAAGGCAGTAACTGGGACATGAAGACCTGGGGGACTTCTCCATCCTAGCTGGGTGACCTTGGAGCAGACACTTCATCTCTCTGACCCTCCATTTCCTTATTGCTGAAATGGGCCGGCTCGGACCAGGTCAGCAGGGTCCAGTTCTACGTTACTTCCATGCCACTTGGGAGCTATTTTGTGCCCCTCCAACCCATTAGCAATGTCTGTAGACATTTTTGGTTGCCACAACTGGAGCTAGATGCTCCCGGCCCCTCGTGGGGAGTGTCGTGGGATGCTACTAAATACCCTGCAATGCTCAGGATAGCCCCCCAACAAAACATTCTCTGGCCCAAATGTCAGTAGTGCCGCTGTTGAGAAACCCTGCTTTAATTTAATGCCAGGAACTTTGCTCTCCACTGTCTTCCCCAATGAAATGAAACAGGGCACACATAATCGGAAACAGCAGATAACAGATGGGTTGATGGTAGGCATTTGACCCGGCTGCAGTAAGACAGAACCGCACACTCTGCCAGCTTGGGCCCAGCTCTGTGCGTCTCTGCCTGGTGGCTGCAGTTTGTGGACGGACGCAGCAGGGGCTACAGGAAAGGCCAATGTTCTTCACAGATAATGAGGAGCGTGTGTATCATGTTCGTCAGCTGACATGCGAGTGGCTAATATCCAACCTCCACCAGAAAAGAAAGATTCTTTACAGCCCCAAATAAGAAAACATCTCTCTCCCTTGGAATTTTCCAGGGCGCTTGGGAAAACCACAGGCCCTCGGTTGAAAGTGCTCGCCCCTACAAAGGTGTTTTGCCGGGGGTGGGGGGTTTGCATTAAATGTTGAACTCGAGACCATCTCTTTGGTTAATATTAGACACTTGCCTGATGTATAAAACTAGACATAACGTATGTAGCCAAACTGCTTAAAAGTGTGACTATGACTCTGAAAACTGAGACCCAGAGGAGGGACGAGGCTGTGCCGGTCACCCAGCCGGTCCTCAGAGAGCAGAAGGTGTAGGAAGCTCTTACTGCCTCTTCTGAGACACTCTCTGCCCTGCTCTGCTCCCCGCCCCCCCCCAGTAGCTTTCCACAGCCCCACCACCAGGATCAAGAAGGAGCCCCAGAGTCCCCGCACAGACCCGGCCCTGTCCTGCAGCAGGAAGCTACCACTCCCCTACCACCATGGCGAGCAGTGCCTTTATTCCAGGTGAGAGGGCCGGCCCTGGAGGGGGCGGGGGGGGGGGGGGGGAACACTCATGAGCAGAGGCAGCAGTTGAGATGCAAGTGAGACAACAGAAAGAATTTCCGAGCTCCTGTAAGGGAGCAGTACAGTGAGGATGAAAAACGCAGGAGTGGGGGCCAAGGGAGCTGTGTGAAGGCTGGCCGAGTTTGTTTCCACTGAAGAAGCCCAGTGGCTCTGGGCTGGGGAGAAGTGTTCTCCAGACCACACCCCGTTTCAGCATGTATGGAAGGTGGAAAAGAGTGCATTTGGGACCGAGTCTGGCTCATGCCATTCCTTTCCCAGCACCCTGTCCTCTTCCTGCTCCTCTAATCCCCGTGCCCTGACTTCTCTGGGGGTGGATGAAGGGTTCAAAGATGCTCGCCTGGCTTCTCTGCCCCCTCACCCCTGTCTCCCCTCAACTCCAGTGCCTATGACCCCCCTAGACAAATCGCCATCAAGTCCCCCGCCCCTGGTGCCCCCGGACAGTCGCCCCTGCAGCCCTTTCCCCGGGCAGAACAACGGAATTTCGTGAGATCCTCTGGCACCTCCCAGCCCCACCCTGGCCACGGGTACCTCGGGGAGCATAGGTAAGGAGACCCCCAGAATGGGAGCCGAGATCTCAGCAGTTTTCCCTCAGTCCCTGAGGGTCCTCCATCTGCCCTTAAGAGACCTGGTGTGGGGGAGGTAGGGAGGAAGGGATATGGACTCCCACACCCACACTGGAGCCCACTCTGCAAGCTTTGGGAGTGGCAGGCACGAGGAGGACTTCATCTAATCCTCTCTTCCTTCTCCATCCGCCCATTTCCAGCTCCGTCTTCCAGCAGCCCTTGGATATTTGCCACTCCTTCACATCCTCTCAGGGAGGGGGCCGGGAACCCCTCCCAACCCCCTACCAACACCAGCTGTCGGAGCCCTGCCCACCCTACCCCCAGCAGAGCTTCAAGCAGGAATACCTTGACCCCCTGTACGAACAGCTGGCCATGGGCCAGGGTGGGGTCAATGGGCACAGGTACCCAGGGGCGGGGGTGGTGATCAAACAAGAGCAGACGGACTTCGCCTATGACTCGGGTAAGAGACATTTCAGGTGGGAGGGGCTGGGGTGAGATTGCTGGGTGGGGTGGCATGTGATAACCCCCACAATGTCTTTCCACGAGTTCTTTACCCTCCTATCTTGTTACTGGTTCACAAACCCAACCCATTCACTTCCTTCATAGAGTCAGAAGAATGGTCATTTTTTCAATCAGCAAACTTATATTCAGATAAAAAATAAATGGGATGTAGGTCCCTACCCTCAGGTAGCATGCGACTTAATGGGAAAGTTAAGCCATTTCTTTCTATGTCTATTTAGCAGGTGTCTGGGGTTTTAATTACCTGTAGAGACCACAGTACTGTTGGAGGAGTATGGATTTGTGGAGTTAGAGGTTACAAAGATTAATAGGTTGTTCTCAGTCCCAGAGATGCTTAACAATACGAAGGCAGCCCAGGGTGGCTCATCAGTTGAGCGTTGACCCATGAACCAGGAGATCAGGGTTTGATCCCCAATTCGGGCTCAATCCCCAGTCGGGGGTGTGCAGGAGGCAGCCAATCAATGATTCTCTCTCATCATTGATGTTTCTCTCCCTCTCCTTTCCTCCTCCTGAAATCAATAAAAAATCTATTTTTAAAAAATACGAAGGGATTTGAATGAAGAGAAACATGAACTTGAAACTTCATAGTCCCCAGTTGGGACTCAGGGTTAATACAACGTGTTCAAGCCCAACCTCTTGGCCAGCGCTGGGTACGGAAGTAGGGGCTGCTGTAAATTCTAGTTCCACCCCGTGTTGGCCTGAGTGAGATGCACTCAGCCATATCCTAGTCATCCATAGCTGTAGTTCAAAGCCCCAAGTGCACAGGGATGGCCCTTCGCAGTGAGGAAGGGCCCAGAAAACCTTGGCTTGTTACACTGTTACCATCCCCGATTGAGTCTCTATGCAAACTTGCATGAGAAAAATATTCAGCCATTAGAGTAGGCTCAGAGCTGGCCAGAGCTTTCGAATTTCCCTTTTTCTGATGCACAGTCTTTTAGGGGCAGGGGCATGAGCCACAAACCCCCAGGCTGCCTGAGTGAGAACCAGAAGGGCGCACCTCTCCTCAACCCCGGGGCATAAGGCTGAGCCACGCCTGGCAGCGAGGTGCAGGAAAGAGGAGGGAGACGCTCTTGCCGCTGACCTTCAAAGGATGTAGACCGGAGGAGATCATGTTACTTGCCCTTGAACTCCTGCCCCTCCCCCTTCAGCTTCCTCTGAAAGGAGTCAGGAATTCCATTCACAAAATGGATGCATGAATGAGCCCACTCTCCCGCCTCCTCCCGGAGGTGTCAGGTTTCACCATCTCATTCATAGGTGGGAGTGGAGGGCCGAAGGGACTGGAACTTGAATGGGTGGCTTCACACCACCAACTCCTCCAGGTGGAGTGGGGATGTTTCAATCCTATGGAATGGAATCAGATGGAGTGGAATGTGCTCTGCTGTCAGAGCTGGAAAAAAAAACCCGGCCCAGTGCCCACTGCCTCTTCCCTAGTTACAGATCCATGCAGTCTCTCCCTCCCACCCACTCTCCTTTCCTCCACTGATTCCTCCCTCCCTCATAGAACACACTGGCCAGGGAATCTGACCTGCTGACCGGAGGTTAGCCCATTCCAAGGGAGTCTTAGACATGGACACTGTACCCTTTCCCCGGAGGTTCATCTCTATCCCTGCCTCCTCCCCCTAAACTCACAGGAAACAGCTGCTCCCTGGAATCCTGGGCCTTGTGGAACAGCTTTACCCAGCCCCAGCTGCTGCCATCCCTGCCCCCTGGCTCAGCCCTCAAGCTGAAGGGTTCCAGCCTCACACCCCCTCTGGGTGAACTTCCCCTGGGACTGTGGTAGGCAGGCAGCTGGGAGCAGAACCGGAAAGCAGGCCGGCAGGAAGTTCTTAAGTGTGTGTAGGCCTGCTGCCCCCACCTCCACCCCAGCCACCTCTAACATCCCCCTTCTTTCTCTACCCCCAGATGTCCCTGGGTGTGCGTCCATGTACCTACACACAGAGGGTTTCCCCGGACCCTCTCCAGGTGATGGGACCATGGGTAAGGCAGCCCCCTCTCCCTGCCAACTCCTCCAAGTTGGGGGAGGGTCTCGTGACCAGGAATCCCTCTGGACACTCTGGGGTCTCATCAGTGAACCCCCAGATCTGAGTGACCCCCAACTTCCTCCTCAAGGCTATGGCTATGAGAAACCTGTGCGACCATTCCCAGATGATGTCTGTGTCGTCCCTGAGAAATTTGAAGGTCAGAGACGTGACTGTTCATGAGAGGGGCAGGTTATTTCCGTGCCCTCTGACTGTGTCACCTGGGAATCACATGACATTTCATGAGAAAGGGCCTGGAAAGACCCCTGGGAGAGAAGGTTGCTTGGGGGACCCGAAGGCACAAACCCTACACTCCTGTTTCCTGTGTTCCCCAGGAGACATCAAGCAGGAAGGGATGGGAGCGTTCCGGGAGGGACCGCCCTACCAGCGCCGGGGTGCCTTGCAGCTGTGGCAGTTTCTGGTGGCCCTGCTCGATGACCCAACGAATGCTCACTTCATTGCCTGGACGGGCCGGGGGATGGAGTTCAAGCTAATTGAGCCTGAGGAGGTGGGCCTCTCAGATGTTCCCCCCTCTCCTTCCAACGGATTTTGGGCCTGGAGATGAGAGAACCTGGGAACGGGCGCATGCGTCTTCACCATCATCATTGCTTTAACTAACCTGGATTCTCACCAAACCGGGGTCTTTGAGCTGGTTGCTTATTTGCCTGACCAGCTCAGCATTTTGCACTAAAAATCTCAAGTGCTCTCTCTGACCTGCCTCTCGCTTTTCCTCTGCTGAGCTAGCATCGCCATCCCCAAATTCTCCTGTTCCCCCAGGTCGCCAGGCTCTGGGGCATCCAGAAGAACCGGCCCGCCATGAACTACGACAAACTGAGCCGCTCACTCCGATACTATTATGAGAAAGGCATCATGCAGAAGGTCAAGGGCTAGGGGTCCAGGGACAAGAGGGTGGGGGCAGGGGGACAGAAGAGCATTCTCAGGAGTTTGTAGGAGCAGAGAGTGAACAAGTCAGAAGGGACAAGAAATTGTGGACAATCCCAAAAAAGTGCTAAACATTAAGAAGTCCAGAGCATGGAGAGATTGAGATTAGAGGTGAACCCCAGAAGGGAGTTGGCTGCTTAGAAGAACGAGTATGGAGAGAAATGTACTCCACACATCGGCCTAGACCCATTCCCCACCCTTAACATTGACCTGGAGAGAGTTAGACTGACCCAGCCCCTCTCTTCCCGCAGGTGGCTGGAGAGCGTTATGTATACAAGTTTGTGTGCGAGCCTGAGGCCCTCTTCTCTCTGGCCTTCCCGGACAATCAGCGACCAGCTCTCAAGGCCGAGTTTGACAGGCCGGTCAGTGAGGAAGACACAGTCCCTTTGTCCCACTTGGACGAGAGCCCTGCCTACCTCCCAGAGCTGGCTGGTCCTACCCAGCCCTTTGGCCCCAAGGGTGGCTACTCCTACTAGCCCCCAGCAGCTGCTCCCTGGCCACCGGGGTGCTGTCCTGTGTACATATAGATGAATTTGGTGTTGGGGAAACCCTCACTCTGAAACCCACAGATGTCTTGGAGCAGGTCCTCACTGGCCTATCAGCCGCCCTGGCCCAGACTCTGAGCCGTGCACCAGAGTCCCTGGGAGGGACAAGTGGAGACACTGCAAGTGCAAGGTGGAGTCAGAAACTCCTGGGGGTCCCACCTCTGGCCTCTTCCTAGGTCCATCTTAGAGGCCCAAGTCCCTCCCCTACCCCCCATCACAGAGAACAAGAGTTTGTTCTGTTCTGGGGGACAAAGAAGCACCCCTCCTTTATCCTGGTCAGGGGGATGCACTGAGCTCCCAGATCGCCCACTGTGGGGAGGCAGAAGCCTGGATCTTGCACTCCACTCCAAGCTGTGGCCCTGGAGGGTCCTGCTTGTCAGTTCTTGGTGCTCCGTTTCCCAGAGGCAAGGGCAGGGGAGGGGGCGCTGGAGGAAGGAACCTGGGATGGGGGCGGGGATGGAGGCAGGGAGGGCTCGGTTCCTGCTCTGAGGGCCCTTTGCTCTGCCCGTTCCTAGGCCCAGGCCTGGGGTGTCACCTCCACATCTGCCAGACCCTAATAAAGGCCCCTGCTTCTCCTGTTCTCCTGTGTCGTCCTCTTTGCTGCCATGGGAAAAGGACCCGGGATTTAAAAGAGCTTGACCTTGGGGCAGATGACCAGTTTGGGGTGTTTTCCTGACACAAGTTACCAAATGGGTTCTTGGGAAAGGACAGTTTACCTTTTTCCTCTGGAAAATGGGTTCATGGGCGCAGTGATACTTGCTCTTTTCCCCTTCCAGGATTATTGTGGGAACACCCTGAAATCATGTGCATAGGGTACTCTGTAATCTAGACCAGTGCTTCTTGCCCTCTCCCCGTGGGGGTGGGGCTACTGAGCTCTGAGGCCTCCTGGAGCGTGTTCAGGCAGGATTTGGCCTGTGGTTTGTGATCACAGTTGCTCCCGTGAGCCACGAACAGCATGTCCCCCCTCCTGCCATGGCTCCAGGTTGCTGTTTCTGCTGAAGTTGGGGACAAGAGTTTGGAGAGGATTTGGAGAACAGAAAAAGGCACCCAGACACAAGGGTGAAGGGAGGCTGGAACAAGCCCTGGGTTCTGGCCAGTGTAGGAAAAGGACACTAGATTTTGGGGGGAAAGGTAAGTGGGGATCAGCAGATTCTCCTTGCCCAAATCTGGGGGAGAGCAGAACCCTGGAGCCGAGTGTTCGTGGGGGGGGTGTGGGGGGGGGGGCAAGGCTGAAAAACCGGTGACACCTAGAGAAAGGAGTGTGAGTATGACAAAGGAGTTCTGTGGAGGTAAGAGGCCGTTGTAGGCCCAGGCCCTGTGCAAACAGCTTCCCAGGAGCCAGGTGCTCGCCAGTTAAATCCGAACCACAGCCATGCTGAGGCTGGACTGCCCTACCCTCCAAGCCTGCCACACCTCCACCCTAAGTTCCTGCTCAGCACTAATGCTAAGACCCAACAGTCCTCACCGGAAGGGATGCCTCTCGACCACTACCTACAAATAAAAAGCAACATTTTACTCCCCTAGAAACAAAATAACAATGTATGATGTTTTCAAAATTTAGAGCAAGGAAAATAAAAATTTTAAATACAAGTGTGAAATATATATATATAATTATATATAATTTAATTCCACGTTAAAGCCAGGATATCACAGCGAGAAGGAGGTGTAAAATCTGAATGGAAACAGGTCCTGAGCACTGCACGTGACACAGGGATTTAGATGAGAATCAGCATCATGGAAAACGTCTCGCAGGCTGAGACCTGTGACCTCTGACCTCTAAAATGTTCACGAACAAGCCACTCTTCACAACTCTGTTCAAAGCTTTAAACTTGGAGGGGCGCTGCTCTGAGACAGCTACACCAGCCCCCGAGGAAACTCCTCGGGCCAAAGGAAAGAGCCCAAACCAAACGTGCTCCAGACTGGATGAAGGTGAACCCAGGGCCGAGAAGCCTGACCCAGCAGTAGAGCTCACACATGCCCCCTGGGACGGTCCCCCCACATCCACAAACAAGCACGGACTCAGCACATGTGCAGGGGCAGGAAACTCCTGAGCTGGGCTCCCGCAGGGGTGCAGTGAACAGTAGACTTTAATGGCCAAGAAGATTCCAGCTCCCTGCATGAGACCCACATCCTCTCCTGGGTTGTCACTCAACCTCGGGTAATATTGGTTCAAGGAAGAGAAACAAGGGCCCCGTTGTGTGGAAGCAGCAGGCCAGAGTCCTGAATTGCTGCAAGCCCCCTTCTGAGCAGACTAGGCAATGCGTTTTCTGATGGACAGTCAGGTCAGACCCCACCATGTGATAGCAGAGAAGGGGGGGATGTTCAAGAGCACCCACAGAGCTAGGATCCTTCATTTTTCGTACCAAAAACCCAGAAAGATGACCAGCCCTGCCTCTCACCTTGGCCTGTTAAACATCCCCTTCGCAACCTGAGCTTATCCACAAAGTCCATCTTCAGGGATTATGATCTCAGAGGTGCCAATGCCATCAGTGCTGGTCACTCATCTGGGACAGGTGGGCTATGAAGCCCAGAGTTGGTTCCTGGAGACCTGGGCTGGAATTAAGACTGGGGAGCTGGGTGCCCGGCCAATACGGCCTTTTCCGTTTCCTCTGTCGGCCCCTGCCCTCTTCTCCCTTTAAGGCCTTAAGTGTTAGCACACAAACATCCCCCTGCCCTTAATTACAGGCCTGGGCTTCCTGAGGAGCGCACTCAAGCAGAATCGAAGGCTCACGCTCAGCTCAAGAGGGGCAGGGACCTGTCGGCAGACTCCCTGGCCTGTATTCCTCTCACTGGGTTCTCTGAATTGTGTCTTTAGAGCGATTTGTCTGCGGCCCAATGACAGCCTACATTCCTTCGTTTCCTGCAATGTTGCATAGTCTTTCAATGTCTGGCTACACTTCTATGGCAGTTCTAGGATTTAGATAATTTCAGAACTTACTAGAATGGGGGAGGTAGTGCAGGCAACATCCAAGGTGCCTGACTGCCCAGGGGCTTCTAAACAAGCTCCACATCCAGAGCAGCTTTCCAGACGTCCCGCAGCCCGGCCTGGCAGCCTCTGCCTGATGTTCTTCCTCGTCAAGAGCCTCCTCAAAAATGGGAGAAGCCCTGGCCGGGTAGCTCAGTTGGGCAGAGTGTTGCTCTGATCTGCCAAGGTTGTGGATTCAGTCTTCGGTCAGGGCACATACAAGCAACCAACAAATGCATAAATAAGTGCAACAACAAATCAATGTTTCTGTCTCTCTCTCTAAAAAAAAATAATAATAAAAATTTAAAAATAACTGGGCACTGGGAAGTGGTTATTCCACAACAGAACGCTAAGAGCACACCACTCAGCGAGAGACCCAGAGCACAGATGCTGGGCAGCACAAGCCGGCTCTGAGAGGTGTCCTGTTCGTTTTCTGTTTGGGACAAGGGAGGGGAAGCTTTGACCATAAAAACCCTTTGTTAAAGCCCATCAAGGACCTCAGGGAAAACAAAATAAAAGCTTTGTGATTACTCGCACGTTTCAAAAGGAAATAGGATACGCTGCACATGGTGAGTGTGGTAGGTGGGAGAGCCAGGGACAGCCTTCTGTATTCAATGTGTGGCATCTGTAACCACTCAGGCGCCAGACCTGAGAGCCTGTGCAATGGAAGAGGTTAATCGTGGGGCGACCCGCGGCAGGGCTGGGACAGCGTAGGTGCTAAGACTGGAGAACAGCGCTGTGCATCACCTCTCAGCCTAAAGAGGCCCTGGGCTCTGGTTTCAGGGGACGCTCCACCATGTACACCAAAGCCCCAGATACTAAGTCCCCCCACCCTGAGTCCAGGCCAATATCCTAACCTTTCAGCTCAAAGAAATCTTCACAGAAAACCATTTTTGTTTCCTTAAGAAAATAAATATTATCAGGTCAAGGGAAAGTACAAGGGCTGGACAGGAGCAGGAAGTGGGGCCAACACTTTCAATGAGCTTCATGGCTCCCTCCTCCACGCAGTACCAGCTAGGACATCAGGGTCCCCATCGTGTCCATCTGTCTGCATGTCCAGGTGTCCGATGCTCAAAACCCATTTCCCATCCCAGGGCTGCACAAGTTACCCCTTTCTTGGAGATGATACAGTGTACCCCGTGTTGGCTGTGAGCCCCAGGTGGCCCCAGTGACTTGGGGTAGTGCGGGCTGGACATTCTGGTCAAACCAGGCGTAAATCCCTGTTTCTATTTTACCACAAGGGAAGAAATGCAAATCAAGTTTGGAAGATGTCCAGTTAAGATCGTATCCTCATGGTCAGCTTTTCAACAAAAAGAGTGAGTCCAAGCCCTGGGCCACTGCCGCAGGAGAGACAAACAAGTCTTGCCTGTCAGCGCCGCCGGAAAGCCCGGGATATTCTCCAGGCGTTGGGCTCCTCGTAGCGGTTGTACAAGGGTTCCAGGCGCTGCTGCTTCTTCTGCTTGCTTAACTTCGTCGGGTCGGAGACCTTGAAGAAGGCAGGAGCGAACTCCACCAGCCACCGGGGGTCGATGGTGGTGACCTCACGCATGTACTCCTTTGTGGTCAGCACCAGCTCATGGTACACCACCCTGAGGGGATAAAGACAGGATCGAGTCTCCAGTCACCCTGGTCCCCGATGGGCCGCAGCTGAGCTTGCATTTTAGCCTCTCACCTCTCCGGCCTGACCCCTCAGGAGACTGTAGTCTCTCTTTATTACCACCACACTCCAATACCGAGGAGGCTGCACACCTCTAAGCACAAGAAAGCTGTCAGAATCATGTGTTCTAGACCTGGCTCTGGCTCCATCTATTCATTGACAGAGTCGATCACACCATTTCTCTGGACCTGTTTCCAGCTCTGTGAAATGGGATGGTGGTTTTCAGGCTGTCTCCACAGAACTCTAGGGCCCTGAAGAGGAGCCTCAGGAGCTGCCACAAGGAGATGGGGGAAAGCCAAGCAGGCAAGGCTCCATATCTCCAACCCTCCTATCATGGCGGCATGATGGTCTTAAATCCTTTTTATATTAGGATAGGTAAGATTACAATTTTTTTTAAATGCTACTTGAAAAATTTTTTTAACCACCTCACTAAATGATCTCAAAGATCCTTCCTACCTCTCATTCCCATTATTTTATTTCTCTCAAAAGAGTCTGACTGTGCCTAATTCACACTTCTGCTGCCCTAGAAATATAGGCAGTGTTAGAATAGGAAGTGCTGGGGCGGGGGGCAAAGGCACAAACACAAAGTGCCAATAGATTTGCAGGTTCTCTCTGCCCAGAACAGCTCCCAGACCCGGGCCTGCCCACCTACCATTCCGGCTGTCTGTTGAAGAGAGCACTGGAAGGGTGGATGTAGACCACTTGCTGGTCGATCAGTGTCCGGTAACCCTCCTGTGGGTCTTTCTTGGCAGCATTTCGGAAGAATCCACTGCAGATGGCCTTCTGCACTCGGACTGTGGACTTTCCGCAGGAAACCACATCCAGCTTGTGTCTATCAGGAAGATAAATCAAGAGAGGACAAAGATAAAGACAACTCTGTCTTCAGAGATTCTACCTTCCAAAATGACCCCCATCTAGGGTCTCCAGAGTAGGCACCAGGACCCTTCTTCTAGCCCTAAGAGTACTAAAGGGGCAGCTCCTCTGCCAAGTGGGCAAGATGGACACAATAAGAGCCAGAGACTTAATTTAACTTGACTAATAATGTTTTATCTTCCTCTCAGAAACTTTTTATTAATGAGAGAGAGAGATTTTATTGATGAGAGAGAGAGAAACATCAATGTGAAAGAGAAATATGGATCGGCTGCCTCCTACACATGCCCCAACTGGAGATCGAGCCCACACCTGGGTATGTGCCTTTATTGAAAATCAAACCCACAACACTTCGGTGCACAGGATGATGCTCCAACCAACCAAGCCACACTGGCCAGGGCTCTCAGGAACATTCTGAAGTGATTCTCAGCTGCACCCTTTCGTGGAGAGGAGTATAACAAAAATGGAAAAGCTGGAGAAAGAGTTATGCGAAGAATCTGTAGCTCCACAATACATACAGAGATGAACAGACACGACATTCAAGGAAGTTCAACTCAAACGTGGGGAAAAGACACCAGATGTTACCTGTCCATTATGCCTAACATCTGCTTGCGAATGTCCTGGGCCCGGCGCAGAGAACGAGCTTGGATAAAGTTCTCGTAGCACCATGGGTTGGAAAATTTGTTGTTCTTCCAAGAATTGTACACGGCCAACAGGGTGAGGTGGTCTCCTTCGGTTTGGTGGAATTTGGCCTTCTTCTGGTCAGCGAGGGCTTGTTTATCCTGCCAAACAGTGGGAAAGAAGATTACTTTCCGCCCAGCAGCTACTAAATGAACACCCCGCAGTCCCAAGAAGCCCTACATGGCCCTGTTAAGCGTCCACATTAAGCACTGGAGTGGCAATGGCCGATTTCACTCATATGAACGTGGGTCCGAACTCCCTACCTTGGGCCTGTAAAAAACGTTCTGCACAGACAGCATGGACACAATGGTCAGCATTTCCTCACTGCAGCCCAGATGCACAGACATGATCAGCATTTTGCACAGCATTGGTTCCAGTGGGAATTCTGCCATCTAGAGGAAGAAGAAGAAACTACAATTGCTTCCCTGTGGAAGCTCCATCTGGACTTGCCAACTGGTGAACAGACCATAGGAGGTTTACCCAAGCATGATGATGTGGGTGGGATGCCTGTCTCTATCAGAAGACATTGCTGTTTTTATTTCCCAAAAAAATTCCAATGAAATACATGTGATCAAGAACATAACTACTGTTATGGTAGGTGGAAATTTTGCAGACATCTGTTAAAATTAAGGCTAGACTCAATAATATATCCCAAGGTAAAATTGACTATGGATAAAATTTATTTTTCTGTAAAGAAACAATTTTAAGCTCTGGCTAGTGTGGCTCAGTTAGCTGGAGCATTGTCCCATGCACCAAAGGGTGGCAGGCTCGTTTCCTGGTTAGGGCACATAACCAAGTTGCGGTTTCAATCCCAGTCGGGGCATGTGCGGGGAGTGGGGAGGGCAGCCGATCGATTTTTCTCTCTCGCATCAATGACTCCCTCTTTCGCCCCCTTCCTCCCTCTAAAAATCAATAAAACATAAAATAGTGGGAAATGCAGTTAAAAAACAGGCATCTAGAATTGTGCTCAAAACTTATCCAGAGCCTCAGAGCTTGATTTTGCACAAAACAAAGAGTAAAGACTGGCCAGGGGATCTTTCCAAAAGCACCAGAAATTAAGTGTGTCCCCTACCCTGCGGCCCAGGCGAGTAAGCAGGCCCTCATCATCCAGGGCCCCCAGTGTGTACAGTTGCTCCATGGCTGTGATCAAGGTTTCCATTGGTGGAGCATCCATGAAGTCAAAGGACAGAAGGTCATTGATGCCCATGGCCTAGAAGAGAAGGAAAGAAAGTGTGTGATGGGAGTGTCAGTCTCTCCAGTGAAGGAAGACTACTTATTGGCTTTCTTTCCTGTTTCTTCAACAGCAATTAGGAAGCCATCAGCAAGATTAGCAGCATTCTCCAGGGCTGGGCCACACAAAACTCAAGACTAGTAGAAAGCATATACTTTCTCAGAAACTTTAAAAACACTCCTCAAAATGACAATACATACAACTCAACAACAAAAGACAACAATTAAAAAACGGGCAAAGGACCTGAATAGACATTTCTTCAAAGAAGATATATAAAATGGCCAAGAAGCACATGAAAACATATTCAACCACCGAGCCAGCATGGCTCAGTGGTTGAGCATCGACCTACGAACCAGATCACGGTTTGATCCCCAGTTGGGGCACATGCCTAGGTTGTGGACTGAATCACCAGTGTGGGCCATGCAGGAGGCAGCCGATCAATGATTCTCTCTCATCATTGATGTTTTTATCTCTCTCTCCCTCTCCCTTCCTCTCTGAAATCAATAAAAATATGTTTAAAAAAGAAAAGATACTCAACATAACTAGTGATTAGGGAAATGCAAATGAAAACCAAAATGAAATACCACTTCATACCACTAGGAGGATGGCTATTAAAAACACACACACACCCAAAAAAAAACAGAAAGTAAGTATTGGCAAGGATATGGAGAAATCGGAATCCCCATACATTGCTAGTGGGAATGGAAAACAATTTGGTGATTCCTCCATAAGTAAAACATAGAATCTCCATATCATCCAGTACTTCAACTTCCAGATATATACCCAAAAGAATTGCAAGCAGGGTCTCAAACAGATACTTGTACACTAATGTTCAGTGGCATTATTCACAATAGCCAAAAGGTAAAACCCCCCAAATATCCATCAATAGATGAATGGATCAACAAAACATGATATATACACACAATGGAATATTATGCACCCTTAAAAAGGAATGAAATTTTAAAACATGCTACATGATGAATTCTGAAAACATTATGCTAAGTAAAATAAGCCAAGTACAAAAGACAAACATTGTTTGATTCCACTTACATGAGATAAATTCATAAAGAATAGAAAGTAGAATAATGATTACCAGGAGCTGGAGGGGGGGGGGTAGTTGTTTAATAGGTACAGAGTTTCTGTTTGGGATAAAAAAAGTTCTGGAAATGGATAGTGGTGATAGCTGCACAACACTGTGCATGTAATTAATGCCACTGAACTGTACATTTTTAAAAGGTAACAATGGTAATGTGTTGTGTATTTCACCGTAATTAAAAAAAAAATAAGACAATACGCCAGACTGTCCTGTCTCTTGCATACATAATTTCCACTGTGCATCCAGGAAGTGTCATGTATCATATTCAGTGGCAGAGATATGAAATGACTAAGATACTACCCCTACTCTCAAAGAGTTCATAATGGTGAGTTACATTGACACAACAAGGCTCCATGCCTGGCACAGAGCAGGCCATCAATACATTTGTTATCCTAATTTGATGAATAAAAGAAACAAACGAATGACGCATTAACCAAATGTGTACATAGGGTGATGTGGTAAGACCTGAGCTTTCTGTGTCTTTCCTATAAACTGATTGTGACCATAAACACAGCAGGTGTTCAATGAATGTTTATTGTATGAACAATGACTATAAGAAATTATGTTAGCAATCAGTAAGCAATGTGCCAACTGCCTTGACCTGGCATTATCTCATTTATCTCCACAACAGATACTATTAATAGCACCCCCTTTCGAGAGGAGAATACAGACTAGAGGGCCTCGCAGGTAAATTTGTTAAGAACACACAGCCTGGAGCAGAAGTTTGAGCCACACATGCCTCTCTGTTCTCACTCCAGAGACTGGAGCAAGTTTTTCTCTGAAGCTCTGTTTTAGCCTCTCTCACAGGGAATGAATAATAAATTACAACAGAGCAGTCTGCACCAGCAAAGTGCCAGGCCTCCAGGGTAGCATCTGTGTTGGGGGTTGGGGGTGTGCCATCATCTGGAAAATTACTCTTGTGGCTCCCCCTGCCAAAGGAGAATGAAGGTCCTCACTGGGGCCTGAGGGAGGAAGAGCAATGATGCAGAATGAAAACCAAGCCCCCAGAGAGCCAGTCTGAAACCTCCACTGATAGCTTCCTCTGCAAAGTTTTTGGACTGGGAGTTTTGCTTCCGTTCTAAAAGCACAGAATTGAATCGGAAAGCTAAAGGGATGAAGGAAGTATGTTTGTCCATAGTTTGGCACTGATTAGATTTTTCTAATATCCTTTTAGAAAATGCTCCTAACTAAAATCTTTTACAAGCAAACATTCTGCTGGTTAGCATGGTAAGGAAAAAAAATGTGTGTTCACCGCAAATGTGCCAACTTAGCCCTAGACCCACAGTGGAAAGGCTGTTACCACAGCCATTTGCATTTCACTCCAAGGGAATGGTTCTATGAGGGCACTAAAGTATTTAACAAGGTTCACAAGACTGAGATTAATTTACTAAGGCCACAGCATTGGACTGTTCCACCAAGCCATTCTAGCAAGACAGTGATTTCTACCTTGAGTGAGAGCACTGTGCTTGCTAAGTTGGTTCTCTGGATTTCCGGCACATTGGTGGTCAGCATTTCATCTCGGTAGGCTCGTTCTGTGTACAGCCTGTAACACTTCCCTGGGCCTGTTCTTCCAGCTCTGCCAGCTCGTTGCTTTGCCTGAGCCTGGAGGAGTGAGCATATAAAAGTAACATATCTGTTAAACATCATCTAACAGCCTTACCCAGGAAATCTGTTAAAAGAGGGGTACTTAACTACTGGCAAAAATCCGAAATGGGGTTTATTTCACTTCCTTTAGGACCATTTCCAAGACTACCAATGTTATTATCATCCCCTCTCCGACACTCAATATTTCAGGAAAGTTTGTTCAAGTGAGGCAAACATAGACAAAGTGAATGGAAGAAATATTATAAAATCACAGAAATATACCTTCAAAATAGTGTGGCACAACATAAAAGACAAAGCATAAAACAAGATGACAGTTAATGCCAAAAATGTAAGTGAACTAAAGCAGTTAATATACCAACGATGACTACAGCCATTTTAAAAATCCTCAATGCCAGAAGTAAATGTTCACGCACATAGGTGAAAGAGCAAGTTACAAAACAATGTAATACTGATTTTGTAAAAAAAAATCTTTATGATCTAGTATAAACTACCAGAAGGAAAAATCTGGGGAGAAATACCCTGAAGTGTTAACTGTGGCTGACAGTAGGCTTGCAGATGGGTCCTATTTTCTTTATCAATATCCAATATTGGCCCTAGCCGGTTTGGCTCGCTGGATAGAGCGTCGGCCTGGAGACTGAAGGGTCCCGGGTTCGATTCCGGTCAAGGGCATGTACCTGGGTTGCAGGCACATCCCCGGTAGGGGATGTGCGAGAGGCAGCTGATCGATGCTTCTCTCTCATCGATGTTTCTAACTCTCTATCCCTCTCCCTTCCTCTCTGTAAAAAAGCAATAAAGTATATTTAACACAAAAACATATCCCAATATCGAACCCATGTTACATTAATAACCAGAATTAAATGCTTAAAAATATACAAACCATACTTAGTAGACTATTAGAATTACAACCGATGAAAGAAACCAACATAAAAAAGGTGTGTATAAGGAAAACATCAAAATTATGACAGTAGTGATAGAATTATGGGTAATTTAAAATTTTTTATATTTCTCAGAAATAATGTAATATTACTTCTGTACTTAGGGGAGAGGAGTGCTAATTTTTGAATTTAAAAAATATAGATATGACCCAGCCAGTGTGGCTCAATTGATTGAGCATCGACCCATGAACCAAGAGGTCTCTGGTTTAATTACCGGTCAGGGCACATGCCCAGGTTGTGGGCTTGATTTCTGATGGGGGGCATGCAGAAGGTAGATGATCGATTTTTCTCTCTCATCAATGTTTCTATCTCTCTATCCATCTCCCTTCCTTGCTCTCTAAAGTCAATAAAAACATATTAAAAAATATGTGTATATATAAATACGTAGTTTAGCCACAGGTTGCTAGGAAACATTGAATAGCAATCTGAAGGGGCCCATTTTTTGACAAAACAACCTGTCTTACAGATGGTAACAGAATTTACAAATTCCTGTGCCAGCTCCAAACAAAGGGTGTAGTATGAAAGGTCACTAACCACACAAAGGCAGTCAAGCAACCACACAAGGTAGCAGACTCCACAGCATTCTAAGATGTCCCTCCAAATCAGAGAGGGCAAGTGTAACTAATTTCTCCATCTCTGTGAGTTGCCTGCACTACCCCGAGAAGTGGTACAGAGCACATGCACAGACTGCCCAGGCTCAAATCCTGGCTCCACCAGCAATGTGACCTTAACCCAGAGGTTCTCAACCTGTGGGTCGAGACCCCCTTGGCAGTCGAACGACCCTTTCACAGGGGTCGCTTAAGACCATCCTGCATATCAGATATTTACATTACAATTCATAACAGTAGCAAAATTACAGTTATGAAGTAGCAACGAAAATAATTTTAGGGTTGGGTCACAACATGAGGAACTGTATTTAAAGGGCCAGAAGGTTGAGAACCACTGCCTTAACCCCTCTTGTGTCTCAGTCTCATCTGAGAAATGAGAATAGAGCTATAGGGGCGAAAAAGAGGAACAACTGTAATAATCTGAACAATAAAGATTTAATATATTAAAAAATAAATAAATGACATTTTCAAGAATATTAAAAAAAAAAAAAAAAGAAATGAGGATAATAATATCTACCTCAAAGTACTGACACAAGAATGTAATCAGTTCGTGTAAGTGAAAGTACCTATGACAGTGCCTGGTAAGGCACTTAGTAAGTACCCTGCAAGGGTACTATTACTTGCATTTGCTACTATTACTTGAGTTTCAAAATGAGAATAGCCTGATGGCCCTAGCTGGTTTGGCTCAGTAGATAGAGCGTCGGTCTGCAGACACAAGGGTCCCGGTTTTGATTCCGGTCAAGGGTACATGCCTGGGTTTCGGGCTCGATCCCCAATAGGGGGTGTGCAAGAGGCAGCCAATCAATGATTCTCCCTCATCACTGATGTTTCTATCTCTCTCTACCTCTCCCTTCCTCTATGAAATAAAAAAATATATATATATATTTTTTAAAAATGTAAAGAAAAAAAAATGTACTTCACCCATTAGCACAGTAACCAGCAGCACCACTGAAAAATAACCTCAACTAACATTTCAACTACATACTTTCAAGTCTCAGGCAGGTTCACATACACTGTGCACAAGTGCACACCATCTATTTTTAAACAAAAATTGGATTATACTATTCCTGCTATTTTATAGCTCACTTCTTTCAAATAATATATCAGAGTTATATGTTTATGTCATTAAATATAGATACACATCACCATGTTAATGCCATATAACATTCTATGGCATGGATATAACATCTTTTATTAAACTACTTCCCTTTGGAGGGAATATTTCCAGTTTCTTTTAATATAAACAGCCATTCAGTGAAAATCCTTTTGCATTACCTTCAGATATGTATTCAATCATTCCTAACTTTCAGATATTTTGGAACTGTTAGGTTAAAGAAATGGTTTTTTAAAAATTTTGGCTACATTGTGGCCAAACTGCCCTCTAAAAGGATAATCAGGTTATTCATTTTAAATATAATTTAGGCAGGAAATTATTCCATAATTACCAAAAAACACATGATCATCTCATGAATTGTTACTATCTCAGATATCGCTGGCTAAGTACAGTACTTTAAAAATAGGCTCTGCCATGGCTGGTTTGGATCAGTGGATAGAGCATTGGCCTGCAGACTGAAGGATCCCAGGTTCGATTCCAGTCAAGGGCATATGCCAGGGTTGCGGGCTCAATCCCCGGTAGGGGTCGTGCAGGAGGCAGGCAATCAATGGTTTTCTCTCATCATTGATATTTCTATCTCTCTCTCCCTCTCCCTTCCTCTCTGAAATCAATAACAAAATATTTAAAAAATAAAATAAAAATAGGCTCTTACTACCCATATTAGGTCATCTATGGTGCTAGGATTCAAACTTATTTTAAGTTCAAATTTTATGGGGCTTTTTAATGTTGAAACACTATCTAAAGATTAAAAACAAACAACACAAAATCTTTCTTATCTCACGAAAGCAACCAGGACCTTAAAAGTTCATCTTTGGCCGAAACCGGTTTGGCTCAGTGGATAGAGCGTCGGCCTGCAGACTGAAGGGTCCCAGGGTTCGATTTCGGGTCAAGGGCATGTACCTGGGTTTAGGTAATCTATGGTGCTAGGGGATGTGCAGGAGGCAGCTGATCGATGTTTCTCTCTCATCGATGTTTCTCTATCTAAAGATTAAAAACAAACAACACAAAATCTTTCTTATCTCACGAAAGCACCCAGGAGCTTAAAAGTTCATCTTTGAAAACAATAAAGTTCAAAATACAAAACCATAAAAAATGTCAGAAATGGATTGACCAGGATTTTCAGGAAAGCTGTTGGTAGAAGCTGCCATACCTGAGAAATAGGAGTCACCACGAGCTGGTCGATCCCTGTCTTGGAATTGTAAACTTTCTGCTTCACAAATCCAGGGTCCACCACATAGTAGATGCCGTCAATAGTCAGCGATGTCTCTGCAATGTTGGTGGCAATCACAACCTGCAGATGAAGGGGACACAACTGGACTGAGCTAAGCAGGTTCACCCTGAGCTGTACACTTTAAAGAGGTAGGAAACAGGACTTCTGAGCTCCAACATCTTCCCACAGGAGGGTGCGGTAATCTCCCTCCCTACAGGATTAGAGAGCACAATCTCGGTTTGGCTTCAAAAGGGGAGGTGCCTTCTTTTTAAGGGTTAGCTTGGGATTGGAAGGGGGGTGGGTACCTGAGAGGAAAAGTGGAATAGGAAAAAGCAAAGGCCACTCAAAGCCAATTTCATTTGATGCAAATGGCTACATATCTCATTTTCTAGATCCAATGTTGATTACTACAATTTTAATTTTCTAGCACCCTGGGAAAGCACAGACTTCCTGGCATCACATGTGCCAGGGCAAAATGAGATTTTTCTTCCCCCACGGGGACATCTGGACTACAAAATGGGCTGTTTGTGTATGTGGAACAAGAGGGAGTTTTTTTCTTCCTAATCATAAAATGAACCATGAGGCAGCAGAGGAATTTCACAGTTTGCGTGTATGCAGCAGTATACGTGATCTAGAAGATTATTGGTCTCAGCTTGGCACTGCCACTGCTCTTCCACCCAGAGGTTCAGCTAATAAAACACAATTGCTTGGAAAAATCATTGCTAGGAGGCACCAGAACATCTCAGATCATGCCAGCACCTTACCGGCCCTGAGAGGCTTCTACCTGCCACAGAGCTGCAGAAGCCCTCTCAAAAAAAAAAAAAAAGTCTAATCATCAGAAACAGAACAGAGAAGAAATCACAATCTTTCCCCCCAAACCTGCTCCTCTTCCATGTTTCCCTCCTCAGCACCATCTTCCATCCAGCTGCCCAAGCCAGAAACCTGGGAGTCATTCCTGACTTCTCCCCTACACTTCAGGCACCCACTATGTCTTGTCCAGTCTAACTCCTTAATGTTTTTCAAATCCATCTGTTTTCCATTCCTAAGGAAATGAAACATATGTCCACACAAAAACTTGTAAACAAATGTTCACAGCAGCATTACTCATAATAGCTAAAATGTGGCAACAACCCAAATCCATCAACTGATGAATGGATAAACAAAATGTGGTACGTTCATATTTTGGATATAGAATAATATTCTACAACTAGAGGCCCAATGCACGAAATCGTGCACCAGTGGGTTCCCTTGGCCTAGCCTGCAGGATCCAACCAAAACTGGCTCTCCAACATCCCCTGAGGGATCCTGGATTGCGAGAGGGTGCAGGCCAGTCCGAGGGACCCCACTGTTGCACAATTGGGGCCAGGGAGGGACGTGGGAGGTTGGCCAGCTGGGGAGGGACCGCAGGAGGGCTCCAAGGTGTGTCCGTCTCGCTCAGCGCTCAGTCCCAATTGGCCAGACCCCAGCAACAAGCTAACCTACCAGTCAGAGCATCTGCCCCCTGGTGGTCAGTGCACGTCATAGTGACTGGTCGACCGGTTGACTGTCTGCCCCCTGGTGGTCAGGGCACATCATGCAAGTGGTTGAGCAGCCTTAGCATATCATTAGCATATTACACTTTGATTGTTTGAATGGATGACTGGACACTTAGCATATTAGGCTTTTATTATATAGGATATTTGGCAATAAAAAGAAATGAAGTACTTACACATACTAGAACATGGATGAACCTTGAAAACATGCTACATCAAAGAAGCTAGTTACCAAAGACCACATATTATATGATCCCACTTATATGAAACATTCAGAATAAATTCATAGAGACAAAAAATTGATTAGTGGTTTCCAGAGGCTGAGTAGAGGGATGAATAGAGGGTGATTGCTAAAGGATATAAGTGTGTTTTGGGATGGGGGGGTTGGGAGGTGATAAAATTGTTCTAAAATTGTAGTAATTAATGGTTAATGACTAATTGCCATCAATAATGGTAATTAATGATTGCACAAGTCTGTGAATATACTAAAAACCACTGAATTGTTTACTTTAAAGAAGTAACTTGTATGGTATGAAAATTATATCTCAATAAAGCTGTTATTTTTAAAAATCCATCTCTCTCCTTTTCCATCGCCTCATGCACATGCGCACATGCACCGTCATTTCCAACTACTGGAACTACTCAGCTCCCTGAAATGGCCACACTCTCTCGCCTCTAGGCTGTCACAGGCTATGCTGTCTACTCAGAACACCTGTCCTCCTGCTCTTCTTACTTAGATGAACAACCACGTGTTCCTCAAGACTAGCTTGGATCCTTACTTCCTGTAATATAGGGTTGGGTGTTCCCCTTCTGGGTATCCAGAGCACCAGTAGCACTTTCACGCTATATGTTAAAGGCATGTCTGCTGGTGGATGCCCCACAGTAGAAAGAGGCCAGTCTTCAAACTGCCACCCTGGTTCTACCCCAAAGCCTGAAAGATGCTCAAAAAATATTTGTCCAATGAAAAAAAGAAGAGAAGCAGGGAACACATACAAAACCCACATTCCTTAGCAAACTGACTGGACCAGTCTCTGAAACATAATAAACAAGACTTACATATACCTAAGCAATCCCCATTAGGGCAAGCACAAGGGAGCCTCATTTCTGCCCAGGGTTACCTTTCTGCTGCCGGGTGGAGCTGGGTCAAAGATTCGGGTCTGCATCTCACTGGGAAGAGCAGAGTACACTGGGAGGATAATCAGCTCTGGAACATCAGGTCCCAGGGATTTCATTCTTTCATACAAGATCTCACAGGCAGTGTCGATCTCCTCCTGACCAGTCAGAAAGACCAGGATGTCACCTAAGAGAACAGGGCATTAATTTATTTTGTGTGTGTGTCTTCTATCCAAAGCCCATAGTGACATTAACAGAGCTCCAAATGACAGAAAACACACTCAAATTCCAACCTCTAATAAAGAGGTTTTTATCCATTTGTTTATTCTGCTTACTTATTTACAATTCGTGTCTATGTTTAAATAGGTGCATTTAAACCCTGCACATCAATCTTATTTCTATTTTTACCACCGCCATTTCAAACATGTAAGCCTAACACAATATTTAAAAGGCATTTTTAGAAAGCTGAATGAAAAAGATAACCACACTGACTTTTGGCCTAAGAGGAAAAAATCCTCTTTCCCCCTACCTGGTGGTTCTGTTAAATGGATCTGCATGACGGTGATCAAGCTGGCATCCAGATAATCTGTCTCAGGTTCCTTTGTGTACAATATTTCCACTGGATATGTTCGACCAGGGATAGTGAAGATGGGAGCTTCATAGAAGTACTGAGAAAACTTCACTGCGTCCAAGGTAGCTGAGGTGACAATCAGCTTCATGTCCTGCCGTTTCTGAACAGTCTAAAGGGAAATGTCATGTGGCTTACTAAAAAGGACTACCCTGCCCAGCCGGTGTGATCAGTGGTTGAGTATCAACCTATGAACCAGGAGGTCATGGTTCAATTCCCAGTCAGGGCACATGCCTGGGTTATGAGCTCAATCCCCAGTAGGAGGCAGCTGATCAATAATTCTTTCATCATTTAAGTTTGTATCTCTCTCTCCCTCTCCCTTACTCTCTCTGAAATCAATTTTAAAAAATTTCTTTTTAATTTAAAAAAGGACTACCCAAAAAGGCACAGGTACTCAAATCCAATTCCCAGAATTCAGTTCTCAACAGCTAGGAGGGTCACCAAAGTGTACCCAGTTACCTTCTTCAACAATCCAAAGAGCACATCAGTGTGAATTGTTCTCTCATGCGCCTCATCCAACATGATGATCGCATACTGCGTGAGGTCGGGGTCAATCAGGCACTCTCGGAGCAACATCCCGTCTGTCATGTACTTGATGACTGTTTCAGGGCTGGTACAGTCCTCAAATCGAATGGTATAGCCCACCTAAAGCAGAAGTTCAAAATCTTAGACACAAATCTCTCCTTTGTGTAATTACCAGGCAAGATTTCAGCCCAGTCAAACCTTTACCGTTATCTTAATAGACAAGAATTTAACCAAGATGTACGGTGATTTCCTCATAGTAAAATCAACCCTGGACTTGATCCTGAACATATCAATGATGACGATGAGAACCTCTCTCCCTCAGGAGAAACCTGAAAAAAGGTTGCATTTATTCCCACTTTACAGATAGAGATCTGAGACCTGGCCTCACCCTTTCTTCAGGGATTTTACAGAACAGCTTCACTATGACTTACCTCTTGGCCTAAGCAACAACCAAACTCCTCTGACACTCTTTTGGCCACTGACATGGCTGCCACTCTTCTGGGCTGAGTACATCCAATCTTGCCCCTGGAAGTGTAGCCCGCCTCCGCCAGGTACTGGGTGATCTGCGTTGTCTTCCCAGATCCTGTCTCTCCGATAACAATCAGGATCTGATTGTCATGGACAGCCTGAAAGCCAACAGAATACAAATACAGTCATTAAAATTTGCCGCACATCACTCTGGAGTAAAATAATGAATGCGGATGTCCTAACACTAAAGGAGAAAAAGCATACACAAGAGTTAGTATACATATGGTAAGATTACAACCAGGATGTAAGATTACATGCCTGGGTTGCAGGCTCAATCCCCTGTAGGGGGCAGGCAGGAGGCAGCCAATCAATGAGATTCTCTCTCATCATTGATGTTTCTGTCTCTCCCTCTCCCTTCCTCTCTAAAATCAATAAAAAACCACTTGGAAATGTTCTGGATTTTTTCCTATCCCCTTTGGAAAAGTCATTTCACACACCTGTCCAGCTAATTTCAATTAAAACATGTCATCTTATTCCCAGACCACAGTATCATAAAGGGGCTTCTCACCTGGACCACGCATGCTCCTTCAGTTTGTAGATGGGCAGGCTCTCTCTCTGCT